TAAGTTCGTTTTCCCCATTTTGCTAGATGAGGGGGATATGGGAAGGGGGGGGGGTACTGAATACCGCAACACCGCCAACAAAATAGGAGAAAAACCCCATCATCGCGAGAAATATATCAACACAATGACACCGTGATATAATCTGAATCTTGTTCACTCATGTTTACCACGTGCTGGTCTTTGGCTGCTCAACAGTCACGGTGTGTGATCAAGGTCCAGAGGTCAAGTAAAATATTAACAAACACGGCCAACACGAGACTTGCCAAGGGGTTCGATGTCGCATTTCATTGGTCGGCAGCATGACTGCATTGAGGCACACTTAAATGAAGTGCGAAAACTGTGAATTTCTTTGCAGGCCAAAAACTCAAAGTTTGATTTTACGCAGGTTACCACGACTTAATGAGGTATGTAGATTTGTTGGATTTTCATGAAAACTGGCCAGAATGTTCGTCAGATATTAACGCACAAAAGTGTATGAGACTTTTACAAAATTCGAAATATTTCTCTGTGACGTCGAGGAGCTTGAAACAAAATATTTACCATTGTCCAACTTCAAGCTGAAATTTCTCGGGAACCGATAGAATTATCGAAAAAGCCTCACACTCTTTTGTTAGCCGACTCTCTGGTAAGTGATACAGTCCAGTTATTTTGGAGGCCGTGGCCATGGTCGTAATTGCCGACAACCTTTATTACACACTGTCCAGACATATACCACCAGTAATGAGTTCTTTATTTCCCTTTTTATTCATTCAAGTCCACATTACAGAAAGACCTTCTACTACCAGCTGATATCAAGCACGAAGGCTGATATCAGTCTACGTCCCCTTTCCCCTGTAAATTTCTAGTATATCTGATTGAAAGGCTTCAGTTTTAGCTGCCCATCATCCTCTAGTCACTGCCACAATATCGGAGTTGACAATCGGACTGTTTGACCAGATTGTAGACAAAGAACGAGTCGTAGTTTCGTACTTCAATATCAGTTGAAACAGACTATTCTGCTTACCTAAACCACCCCCCCCCAAAAAAAAAAACAAACATAAATAAGGAAAAATGTATTATCACAAATATAGTCTTATGTTAGAATTAAGATATATGTTATGCTGTGAATAGAGATTGTGTTGTAACCAGAATAAACTTTTGTACCGATTGAAAACGTTCATTGTTTTGTCTTGTATAACTGCATGAAGCCGGTGTTTTCCCTAGTACGCAATTGTACAAAAGGAGTTCAGTTTGGCAGCCCTTTTAATAAATTTTATTTTTGCATTTAAGGAAGTTGTGTGTTGTGAACTTTCTTCCCTAGCGCACGATTGGTTAAAATGTGTCGCCTGATCGAATGAGCCCTGCTAAAGCTGGATGGTGATATTCCCCCAGTGATATCATCCAATTTTCAAACATTGCTTGCAATACCATGAAAGTATTCCTTTAAAAACTCATTTTTTCGGAAGAGTGTTTTGCCGTTGTTCCAGTAGAAGGGATAAATTTGTTTGTGAATGAATTCACGGTGGAAGTCAATATCCGTTTTCGATATGTGATCGTTTGGTTCTGCACACAGCAATAAAGAAAAAGAGAAAGATAGAAAAAAAATGCATTCATTTGAATAGGGAATGTAAAGGTTTATTTTCCCTTCAACACCATCCCTTATCCGAAGCCCACAGCTTTCCTAAAGCGTCGCTCTCCGAAAGTCATACGCTACTCTGAGCAGATACCGAGATTAATCCCGCGCCAAACGGAGGCTAATGTTTGTATGATCAATTTTTTTATTGAAAAAAGTGTGATGAGTGCACCTTTCCCTCAGCAACAAATGGATGTGTTCCATTCAGTCACCCTGGCGCTATCGTGCCACACATGTATGGATCCGGTGGTGACTCTGGCATCTTTGAGCCTACAGCTCTAGTGAAGCGGTACCTCGCACCTTCCACGGACATGTCGCTGTCACATTCATTAGCCGCAATGTAGGCATTCTTCCTGTCAGCGCTGTCCAGAGCTTTGTAGCGTTTACACTCTAATTTAAAATGTGGCAAACACAAACAGAGCTAAAAAACGTCTGCGCATGTCACAAACTCACTTGTTAATCCATAGCCGGCAACAGCGTACATTTATTAAAATGGCGGGCTTTCTTTTATTTTTAAAGTGGTGTGTTCCACTTTTTGCTTAAAACGCTGAAGAGCTCTTAACACGCATTTCAACATATTTGAAGCTCAACATTTACAAAATAAATTCATTTTTTTGTTTAAAAACATTTTTGTGCTCCTGTCAAAGAACGATTGGTAGCCAAATAAAAAGCTTAACCTTTTTACTTCAATTTAAACTTGGGCAAAAAAATTCGTGGATTATATTTTTTCTATTTTATCAAGGCCCTGTTAGGGGGGGGGGTATAGATGTCGCCCGTCTGAATTTCAAACTTTGTCACGTCGCCATTTCGGTTGTCACGTCTCCATTTCGAAAGGTTCTAATGTCGCTGTCACAATTTCATCAATGTCGTCCTCGCTTGTCGCATTTTGATTTCCCTGATGTCGCTGTTTCAACGCCATGTCGCCCGTCGGAACTTACCCTATCAGGGCCTCTACACTTGAGTCCGCGAAAATTTGTGACATATGCGGAGACGTTTTCAGTTCGTTTGACGTTTAGACACATTCCAATCATGCCTGGGTGAAGAAAAAAGATTTGGAATTCGTGGTAACCGTGGAGTACTGACAAGTATTTTGTTGGTTAGGGATAGAGATGCCTCTATGTGGGTCTGCCATGACCTGTGACTGCTCAAAATGGATAAAAATTAGGAGAGAAGACCAGCGAGACCTGCTTTGGGCCAACAGCTGTTTTACGTAATTTAGGATAGACGACTGAGGAATCCACAATTTTGCCATAAATTTCAACTAAATTGACAACCATGGTTTGAGGTATTGCAGAAACTGTCCTGACGGGGGACGAAGATTGTTTGGAGATAGCGGGAAGCTTTAGTCATCAAGGGTTCACGAGTTACAGGGATGAAAACAAAGTCATGGTATCAATGAAAAAAACTCCTAGAGTTCGATTTTGGTTCAAGGTCACGCGGCATTCGAGTTAGAGAGGGTTCGAGTCATCTTGGACCTTTGGAAGCGTTCGGAATCTACTAGTAATATTAATGTGCTTAGAGCCAGTGGAGGAGGTTTGTCTGCGGTTCTGTTGGCAGTGGTTTCTTTAGCTCTTCAATCTCTCCCTCCGTAGCAGTGAGCCGCCCTGTCATTTGTTTGATCAGCGAGCAAGCTGAAAATAAGCTACGACAATGGTCTATAATAATAATAATAAGTAATAAAAGTCTTAATTCAAGGTTTTGAACAAACGTTAAAACTTACAAAATCCATCATAAATAAGATAAAACTAAGTGTTACTTACAATCTATTTAGAATAAAAAAGACATCTATTTACAAAGCATTTCTTAAACCTCTCTGTGTTAACACGTAAGATCTGGTAAGGATGCGACTTACCGCGTAGAGCCCTGTTCTTAAGTGGGGAGAGACGATCCTGGAAGGGATGCGAAAAAGTACCCATAATGCTTTTCCAGAGGCTTCCATCCCTGTCTATGATAACCTGTCGAATCGATCACTCGTGTTGAATACGCCCAAATCGAAAGGCCCTTTTCAATAGCCTATCAATCTGGATAAGGTATTTGCTGTAAGCAGCAACACCCCAAATTCTAATACAGTTAGTGAAAAGTGACATAATGAGACAATTGAAAAGGTAATCAAGATCAGATACACTATAACCATTTCTTTTACACACTCTAAGGATGTGCAAACGTTTCAGAGCTCTTTCCATTAAACTCTCAAAACGCTTATCCCAGTCGGTAGTGCTATCATGAAAAGTCACTCCCAGAAGCTTCAAATATGACACACGTTCAATGATGACAATAGACTCAGGAATCACTCTAGTGAAGTTACGCTTTAAATAAGAGATCAAATAAACGGAAGGCTTGTTTTCGATTTTCAAAAACCGCAGAGAAGTGAGTTTAAACAGCTAATTTGCACTCAACTTTGCCTTACGTCAACACTTTTCTTACTCGACTTTATCTCTAAATGTGCGCTGTGGTGGAGAATATAGAGATCCATCCTAATCGCCATTTCTTTGAAAAGATCTTTTCTTCAACTACAGAAGGTTTCAAGTTTATTAGGTATTCAATAATGAATTTTACCTTTGCATTCTTCTAGTTCTTTCTTGCTCTCCTCCAGTCCCGTAACCCTGTTAAATAGCTTCTTAATCTTCCTCGTCCTTTTCTTCCAAATACAGGTTTTCCCGTTCTGGTTCTTTTCAGATCCATTTCGCCTTTCGAAATCTACTCCAAAAGATTCTTCTAATATCTTGTAAGCTTTACCCGGGCGAGAGGGGTACTTTGCTACAGTGAAAGGCTAATGTGAATGTGCTGCTGGGTGGGGTCATAGTTTCGCGACTGATTTRAATATCATGGAGTTATATTTTTGATACAGTTACTAAAATGGAGTAGCACATATTTATGGGATTATGGTGATAAGAAAAGTGTGGTAAGTTGGGATTTGAAAATGAGAATGACTTGCGGTTGAAAGTTGTCACTGTTTAATCAAAAGTGACTAAGATGATGTGAGGTTCATAGTTGGCCACAGAATAGAAGATAATGGAGGAGGGGACCTGAGAGGCCAGCAGAATATACCCAGCAAAAGCTGACCCACCCCAAATACCTCTTCCCCCCCCCTCCCCCTTCCTCGAAGCCTTATCGACTGAGACCCATTATGGCTCTTGTTATCGACCCATCAAGGGAAAAGAAACCTCAGAACTACCCGTGACAAGCCAGAGTAACTCTAAGGCCGCGGAGATCAGCCGAATATACGTCAAATTCCTTTCTCCTTGAAAACATAGCATTAATATGAGAAGGGAGAGGTAATTTTTGAAGTCTGTTTCACTGATACAGTAAACTGATAGATTCTTTTTATTGCGGTCTCCTGCAATTAAATAGGTAATTTCCATGGGATATATGTGTAAAGACTACACAGGAGATATCAGTGACATGTGAGAATTTTTATTTGTAGGTAGTGTTGGCAGTTGATCCTTAATGTACCATACCAAGCCCTACGGGATCAATTTTCTGCGAAGCCATTTTTCGCGCAAAAAAACTTATATAAATAACACGCCATCAAATGATAAATGAGACAAAGTTATGGCAACGACGACGACTTTGTAATTTATACCTGCAGGCAGTAAAAAAGTCTCTTGCGCCGTAGGCAATGCGTATAGTGATGGGTTAATTTTTACAGCTTTTCCGATATTGCATGCAAGTACATAGTTTAGTAAGGTGGAATGTCCAGTTTGTATGCTGAATAGTTATACAGATTTTTTATTTCCTGGTCGATATCATTTTCCTCGTATGATGGAGTGCCTCTGCGTACTTGAAGCTTCACGGGCGTCGGAGTCCCATAATACACGTTGTCTCTGTACACGTGATGTTGAGACGCATTGCCATTGGTCAGCCAAATGCATGTGAACTGAGTAGGGCAACTAGAACCAAGGATTTGAAATACGTTTGCAGAGTACTTGATATTCTCATCATCTCCAACAAAGTGGGGCTCATAGTAGCTTAAACTGCTGTCTCGTCTGCCTGGTCTTGTTCGCTGTACGAAGTGATTTCCGTAGATTACTACATTCTTGAGACCATTGTGAAGACAGGTCTTGTTTTTTTTATTTTCATGCGAATACAACAGAATTCCTGTGTCATCGACGTAATTACGAGCAAGCCAAAGGTTTTTCCCATTTCGCGCTTTGATCCCACCTGATGCATCCGCAGGCCAACCTCTGACGTAGTTACCTGTCACGTTCATGCTATCAAAGCCTTTAAGATACATGGCGTGGTCTCTGTGTCGGGCGGTATTGGGACTTCCGTTGAATATATTTTCCTCTATTTTCATTCTCTTGTCGCACTGGTCATAAAGACAACTGTTAAAGTAGCCTTGGTCAGATTTAAGATTGTAACGAGTCCTAAGGAACTCTAATTTCTCTTTTTGGTCTCGCCAATGGGATACTGGCTCAACTTTGGAAGACAACCAGTCTAATTTACTTAACTCGAGGCCACATACGTTGCCAATTACCGAAACGTTCACAGTACTTCTAAAGCTAGAAGCAACTCCATATGCACCTGAATCACGTAAAAAGACGTTTTTGTAAACACCACTGTTTTCAAGCTCTATCATTTCGAATTGTCGCTTCCGTCCGTTGCTTTGAGATGCACTTGCCGATGAAAAGAATACACAGCTCTCTATTGTAATATTACTTGTAGATGATGGCCCTTGGTTGTCACCCTCAAATACTACACGAATTCCGTCAAAATACAGATATATCAACAAAATACTCCTTACTGGTGAAGCATTGTGTATTCGTATGGCATATGGAGTCGACGCCTTGATAACAGCAACACCGCTCTGGGTTCCATGCAGTTCCACTGAGCCACTTATAGCAATATCACCACTGACCAGATACTCACCACGAGGAAAGAAAACCTTGTTGTTTGTGGAACCTTCTACGTGTTTAATGATGGCCTTTATGACAGATGTGTCATCCTTTTTCCCATCTCCAACCGCAGCAGTTAAGGAACCTCCAGGTTGCTTCACGTTGGTCATTCCAGCAGGTACGCCATCTGACCCTGTCAGATAGTTTGGAGCTAGGAGCACAAGGAGAAGAGAACGTGTTAA